AACAAGATCAGGAACCAAGAGAAATGAGAACTATCCTTAACAAAAAATACGGATGTCGCAGAATGTTAGCCAGATTTCTCAGGTTTTCACCGTGGATTCCGATTTAGGCCATTTCTGAGAAATTATCGATTCATTATCCTTTGTCTCGCGATGCGGAGGTCACGTTTTTGCCGACTGTCTAGATCACAAAGCGCTAAACGTATCAAGACATGTTTAATAGACCAATTTCGATTTATTAAAATTCAGCCTAACACAATAGACCTCAACACGAGGCTCTGGGGAATAAAACCCACAAACTCTGTAGCTATTCCCACGAGTCTCGTGCTGAGGTCTATTGTTTAAGGCTGAATTTTATTATATCGAAATTGGTCTATTTCGCTGCTCACTTGAGTGGGTGGCGAAAGGGACCGCAATTGACTAAATGCTATTCTCTTAAAGTGCGACGGATTAGCGATGCATTAGGCAAATCGTACGATCGATTCCAGACTTAGGCAAAAAAAAAAAAATGATGCCATGACCCGAGCCTTGGCACTAAATTAAACAGTTATTTTTAGATGAATTGACTGAATGACTTGATTAACCCTCACGGGGTGGAAGCCTGGAAGAGGATTGGTTATTGGAATGACCAAGACTTAGAAATCACTTACCAAACGGAGAGATCTTTTTATTTCTTTGTTCTTTAAATGAAGTCTTCTTGTATTAATCTGGAAGATTAATAAACAATTTTCAAATTAAAGTCGTTCTAAACTTACTTGTTTGAACTTGGACATCATATTTGATTCATCAAGTAATTTTTCTGAATAGCTTGTGTTGATACAAATTTGGCTGTCTACGTGCATATCGAAATTTCTTTGGGGACCAACTAACTCTTCCGCCTTTTGACAGCAAACTACAAAAATAGAAATTCATCAATATGCTGTTATGTCAACATTAAGCGGGTGCTAATGAATGATAAATGGCACTGTTCACAACTTCGGAAAATGTCATTGAAGATGTAAAGTTCCGAAAGCAGCGAAGCTCCAAAATTGGAGATAAAATGAGGCGATTGTTAGCAACAGGAAGCTAAATAAAGTGATATAAAATTAGGCCCGTTCCTCACTTGCGACGCAAGCACAGGTATAACATGTCAGCACAAGCATAAGTAAGAAAATAGGGTTCTTTTTCCATATAACATATCATTTGTTGACCAAGCTTGTTTGGTCAAGATGGCTGGATATTGGTCTCGTTTTTGCCATTTTGCGTGTTTATGGACCTCCACTCCATCTCGGTCCATGAGCACGTGAAAGAAGAACTTGGCCAATATCCAGCCATCTTGACTTCATGCTTGGTCAATAATCTATATATGGCGACCGTCCAAAAGTGACAAAGATTCGAACATATGATCGACGTTTTGAATCCAAACGTAACTTGGGTTTTTACTTCAGAACTTAACGATATCTCAGGGTGGTGATCATATCGTTGTATTCCGTATTCACTGTGTTTGCTTTCCAAATCTGACCGTGCGTCTGTTAGTTTGGTATCATTTATACGCTATCGTTACATTCCGCGCTTTTTCAGTTTGGCGTAATCAGTCTTAATTAACTATTTAGGTGAGATATGAGGCGTAGTTAAGAGCAGTTTGGTATATTTTTCTCCTGGTTTGCTTGCACTTTTCTGTAAGCGCTGATAGCCTTACTCAGCCTTAAAACTTCACCTCTCACCTCTCGCCACTAGGCCTCTTGAGGTTTCGTATGTAATTGCCTATTTTAGATCATATGAAAGAGTTGCTTTTAACTCACTTATACTCATACAAATGAACATTGTTAAATTTTGAATGAAATGACTTTCCAGACAAACATTACACGGAGTAAAACCTAGCACTGTAAATCAAACAGAAAGAATAGAATCGAATAGAAAGCCTTTACTAAATTAAGCTAAACCATTCATTGCGCGTCCCAGCTCTCAAAGTCAGCTGACACACACACACCACATATATCCGCTTTTGTTTGAGAGACAGCGTCACTTTTCAATTCCAAGAAGCAGGAATTCTTTAGGGGATATAAAACGCGTCAAAACATCGTTCTGGTCGTACATCGCTCCTGCTCCTGGAAGGAAACGGATATTCACTCTTATCTACCAATCGACAGAAACATCGGGCAGTGCAACTGAAGGCCGAATTAAGGTAAGAAAAAACAGGAGAATACACCATTTTTCAAGGTATTCTTTTCCACAAACTATCTCAAGCTTTTGTAGGGAATTTCAATGTTGCTTATTGTCACGATGGCAAAAGTGCACATAAAGCGAAGAACACGGAACTAAACTACCATTTGTAGCGAGGTTAAAAGTGGGATTACAGTTTGTGTGACAAATTCCGATAAAATGAGCGTTCACCCTCTAGACAAAGCTCTTGATCAGGAGGTCGGAAGGCAAACGAAAATGATCGCCGCCGGCAGAGTCTTTTTTTTCTTTTCGTAATTATCCATACCATTTCAGTCTGGTTTTCACTGAGGCACCATTTTTAACAAGGTTTTAAAGTGCGATGCCGATCTGTTCGCAAATCTCGGATAAAATGAACGTTCACGAGAAAGACAAACATCTTGCTTTGCAGGATGAACAAAACGAAAGTCACTCCTACGTTAACTTTTTGTGGATTCTTTTTTCTCGTAGTCATCGATGACATTACCTCAGTTGATGTAAAAATGATCCTGAATAGCTTGATGGAAGAAAAGTTCAGAAACGCGTAACATGCAACGAGCTTTTGATAGTAATTCTAGCCTAGGAATTAATATCTTGGTAACGCCTCTCATCTTGCGATTTCTCTTTCGCGTAAACTTTTTTCTTTCGCGCAAACTCCAGCCGGATTTCACACAAGGAATGGTTTGATGCAAAAGCCACACATACACTAAAATTTCACACGCTTTGTGAACTTTCTTGCCAAGTTCGATTAAACGAGACGTTTCTTTTGAATAACCGTCAGGAAGAATGGGAATTTTGGCCAAGCGCCAAAAACGGCACACCCCAAAAGAAAACTTTGCTTCTTCGAAAGCCTTATGAAAAACAAAAATGAAACTTTAATAGTAAAACTTTATTGTTTTCATCATTTCAAGCTTATATTAGATTTAAAAGATTTATTCGTCCGCTCACTCAACTTTTTTTCTTCATCACGGTCTTCTCCCTGGCAGCAGAGATCGCACGTTGATTTCTTCAGTTTTTTCATAGATCTTCTATAATCTCTCATAAAATACTGTCGAGGACGCGAAAAAAATGAAAGCCGCTGATGAACTAGGAGAGAAACAAAAAAGAGCAAGAAACGGCTGTGAACAGGCTGGAACAAGAAGACGCCTTAAAATTTGTTGTCGTCGAACGAAGAAATTTGAGACGGAATCTGTTTCCTTAGCGCCGTGGTCACCAGTATCTGCCAATAAAACATGCGCTCGGGTCGAAAAGGTTTGTAAACCACTGACAGTCCACAAAAATGTCTAGGTACATGTAGAGAAATTATTGACTTATTCCTAGAAAAACAGAGGTTTTGTTATGACTTGTAACGTGGTCTGCTGTTATTAGTTCATTTTATATGCAT